GTGTGCTGTTGTTTTATTTCTGGAGTTAGTAACAACAAAACTATTTCTTTATGGGATTATTAAAGTGTTTCTGATTCTGATCTCTTGGATCGAGTTTCAGCTCCTGCTGTCGTCGGGTTTCGAAATGGCCGATCCGCCTTTACTGTCCGCTGTGTGAAAATCAAAAGCTTTTAGCCTGTCTATAGCCTAACTATATTTTGTGTTAAAGTCTCTGGCTGTGTCCACAGACTCTCTTTTCTCTCTTTTCCTTTTTCTGTTGCATTAGATCCACCTTTAGGTCAACACACACACACACACCATTTGTTACCACATTCCTGTCATCTGCATGAATTAGGACCTGGCCTGTTCATGCCCAGAGGTAACTGGCCAATAGGACTTGGTTGTGTGCAGTCCTCCTTTGAGGAGGCGGATTGAGTCCAGGAGATAATGCCCATCACCCAGATCTCAGGGCTCTTTGCCCACTGAGACCCAGAGAGAGGTTTTTGTCTGTCAGAGCCCAGCTGATATACTTAACTGTGTCCAATAAATGTCATTTTTTATACTTTTGATCTACTTTGGTTTATCCTCAGGTTTCCAACTAAAGAATCGGACTAACAGGTCTCTACGGTTTGGTCTTATGTTTGAGCTGGAGCTTTGGTAGACGTCTCACCTCTCGCTTTTGAGCTGGGCGAAGCGTTTGCGTACGTCGTCCATGGTTACCTCGAAGAACTCGTCGGGCAGCTCTGATTGGTCGAGGCGGTCCTGGGGGAGGCGGGACCCCGAGTCCAGGTGGTAGACCAGAGGCTCGCGCTCCACCGGCTGCAGACAGACAAACAAACCCTGAGACCAGATCTGGGAAGGGTAAGGGCCTCTGGGGGTTAGAGAACACTGCTAACGGATTTGGGGGTTTGATGGTTGGTTGGTGAGGAGCTCTGGGAGCCTAAAGGGGGAATTTCCATGCACTCACTGAGGAGTAAGGATGGGGATCGTTAATATTTATTGATATCGATACTTTTATCGATACTCCTTATCGATCCGAGTCTTTATTGATACCACTATCGATACTTTTCTGTTATTTGGTGGAAAGACGATGCGACAATATTTAACAAATAAATAATTGTATTTTAAATTAAATGTAATTTTTTATAAATGTTGGCATCAGTAGTTTAATTATACATTCTAAAATAATTAGAGCAATATACAACTGTATTACTCATGTTTCTCGCCAAAAACTCAATTTCCCTTTTCTTTACGTTACACTTGAACGCATCATGATAACCTAATTGTCGTTTTACTGAGCCAATCTGAACACGTCTGAAACTTTATTTACTTTTCAAGCTAACTAGCTTGTATGCTGCCGATAACAACACGGATTTCACAATTACTATTGTAATAATAAAAAAAAACACGACCAGACTCGATAGTTGTATCGATAAGCCCAAACGTTATTGATTTTCGGGTTTTGAAAAAAGTGGAACCGGGTCCTTGATAGAACCGGGTTTCGATCCCCATCCCTACTGAGGAGTCGGGTGAAAGACCTGGAGCCCAAAGCTGGTGGACACAGAGACTTTTCCTCCTAAACTCAAACATTTCACATTTATTGACCTCTTTCTGCTCTGTTCCTGTGTTATCTGGAGACCATCGGAACAGAACTCAAGCTCATTTTAACAGAACAGACAATCAATTCTGCCTCCGGTCAACATTTAATGACTCCACAGGTCAATTTAATGAGGTTTTGGTGTTGAATTTTATCTAATCAGTTTTAGTGTATTGTCGTGTTTCTGCTTTGTCTCTCGAGAAAAATATTCTAAATCTTAGAGATTTAAATAAGGGGTAATAAAAAATAAAGCTGAGTTGATAAATCAAAACCATTCATTTGAAGCCGACTTCAAGAGAAGCTGATAAACAGAAATAAAAGTGGAGATATTTCAGACCAAATGAAGCGTTTTTACCTCCAAGAATTCCTCGCTGTGATCTCCGTCTCTGACCTCTGGATTTGTGGCGGCTTTGTGCTGAGAGACGACCGAGAGTAAGACAAACATTATCGCACATGTCCAAAGAGCTACAACGTCTAGAGAAACAAATCCTGCCAAACTACAGCAGAATCTCCCCTTACGAGGCCTAAATATACGAATTTACCAACATCTGAAGTAAATTTCCAATATATATAAAGTCGAAGTCATAGAAAAATAAATATATAATAATTAAATAAAAATAAATAAGCTAAGTTAGTTTAAAATTAATCCGGGATCGGATCGGAAGTGGAAAAAGCTGGATCGGGACATCCCTATCTGTGACCACAGGTAGGGTCACAGGTAATCTCCTGACCACCTGTTTACCACAGGAAACTAGGAGCGGATGCAGCCTGAAGCTGAAACCACACAGAAACGCTCCGTATAATGTAAAAGGTACATTTAAACCCTTAAATATCAGAGTTAATGGCCGGCGCTGCCTATTTGAGGGGTTCAGACCCAACTAAAGGGGCTCAAAAGCCTCCAGGAACCAGCTCAGCTCAGGCCTGTTTCTGTGTTCTC